CGTGTCTAATTGCAAATAAGGCAACATTTTCCCTACATATTGATCATAAACATAAGATTTCATCAATTTGAATCCAATAAATGGTATTGATATTTGGATGGTTGCAAGGAAATTACAAAACTAAAAACAAAATCAGAAGAAAAATATCATATTCTACTCAGTAAGAAGAACATCTTCCACCATATAAATAATAAAATAAAAATATATTTACTTACGAATCATAACCAAAATCTTAATACCTATCTTACTCTTAATTATTTTTTTAAAGCAACATTTTAGCTTAATATATAATAATAATCGAGATACCTTTTAAATGTATCCCTTTATATTAGTAATTACCAATAGTAAGAAATTAGGTGAAAGAGAAATTGACTTGGGCAAAGCAAGAAGAAAAAATATATTTTATCCATTACAATCGGTATGTATAACTGGTTCATAGAATAATTTATTTTGTTTAAATATTTGGTCAGACTAACTACAAAATAAAAATAGATTTGTATATATAATGTTTGTTTTGCGTGAAAGTCAGCTCGGGCTACAGCCCGGGCAACCGTAAAAGTGTCTCCGCCCCTGAGTACATGGGATATCAATCGACACAAAGAACCAGAAAACCTGAAGCTACCCTTTTGGCACACATGAGTTCAACAAACACAAGCTCCATGAAGGAGACAGCCGCACACAAAACACAAAACCCAACTACATAAAGAATACTAGAACTCAATAACGGAGACTGTATGCTAGACGCAGTTGGACTTAACTGGAAAAAAAAGAGAGAAAAAGATAAAAACAACTTACACCTACTAAACAAAGTAAATAAAATATAATTTGAAAATACTTATTATATCAATAATATTTTTTGTTAATATAACATAATTAAACGAATATACCCAATGTATATATACATATATCAAAATAATTTTCAAGTTCACACTACCAAATATTTTTTTAAAACAGATAAGCTACTTATACTAAACATAGTTTTGAAAACCGCTATTACTAATTTGTTGGTTAAAGCAGCTGATACAATTCGTTGGTGAAAACATCTATTACAATCAACTAACGACTAATCGTTAATTACCAAACAAGGCCTATGAAGGTAGCAATTTAGGCACCACGAGTGACATACAACAATTTAAGTTCTGTTATTTAAATTTTGTTGGAATTTCAATTATTTGACTGTTAAATTCTTAGTTTTGACGGATTCCAACAAAAAATCTACTCCGAGTAAGGTATCCACATTCCACCACCGTTTAAATGACACACAAAACCATTCAAATCAATTGAACTATTCATTTGATAGGTATTAATGGTGGGACTCATGGCATTCATTCAATCACAACTTTATTATATAAATAATATTATATTTAAATTTTATAAGATATAAAGAATATTAAATAAGTAAGAAAATGAGACTCATACATTTGTATTTGAATATATGAACCAGTGTGAGCTAGTGTTTAAATGAGTATATTTTAGTGAATAATTATGTGTAGATAAGGTGAATGAAAGTGAAAATGTTTTTGTACATAAATGAATGGTACGAATATGAATGACTTAAAACTAACAAAACAATAACAAAAATTCTGACAATCACCTTTAGAATATTAAAAGGAATTTCACATTTTGCACCTCTTATCGGAAGTGTGAGAATATTAAAAGGAATTTCACATTTTGCAATATCAATTGGTATCATATTGTTTAAGTTAAGATTGTCATGATATCTTCTATTTAGTTTTAATTATTTTTAATGTAGCGTGAAACTCATTAAGTTTAGAGATGATCATATTTTTTGTTTGAACTAAAGCGCTGAGTGGTTGTTGTTCTCAGGTTAAACATAGTGGATACTATCGAGAACGATGTTTTTAAGAATGAACTCTCGTGTTTTTTGTATATTCAATCAAAATCAACTAACCCTCAACAGAATATGAGTCTTAAATAGTTCCTAAGAGAGTCTTACTTACCATAAAATTTCCTACCAAATAGAAGACTAAAATACTTAAATAACAATACAATAAAAGAAATAACTAATTAAACTAAAGATGTCAAATAATCATGCTTGTTTAAGAAAACCAACACTATCTCGTATCCATCATTCTCTCCCTCATGAAAAAGTTTCACCCTCGAATCAAACGCAATCTCGTTTGCATCGAAATTATCACCATGGAAAGGCACCAAATATTTGACATTAAACACGTCCGATGTGCGAATTTGGGACGACAAACGAAGGCGATATATGGGCATTAAGACTCGAACCTATTATGTACTTGCTAATTGCACCAGACCAAATTATCTTTCGGTACTAACTTATTAGCAAGATAAAGCTCGTCACCAACGAGGAGACATTGGAGTAGAATCAAACATATATTTCATTATCTTTTCAAGGAACAACCGATTTGAGATTCTTCACTCAAATGATAAAAATCATGACATTATTGGTTTTGTAGGTGCACGATAGTTATTAGACCCACACAAGACAAGATTTCAAACTAGCTAGCTACATTTTCACGACTGGTGGAACTGTGTTTTCTTGGCGTTTTAAAAAACAAACATTGATGGATATATCTTCAAACTATGCTGAAATCATTGCACTTCACGAAGCAACTAGGGAAAGCATCTTACTCAAAAATATGATTCAACACATCCAACAAGCCAGTAGATTATTCAATAACAAAGGTCTGGCGGTGGTATTAGAAGACAATGCAGCATGTGTCGCTCAAATCAAAGAATGATACATTAAGAGTGACAGAAGTAAACATATCCCGTCAAAGTTCTTCTCATACACTCAAGAGCTTGAAAGGAATAAACAAATCAAAATTTAAAACATTCGATCAACCGATAATGAAGCAGATTTATTTACGTAGGCACTTCCGACTGCAACATTTCGAGAGCACGTCAACAATATTGAAATGGGACATCTTCGAGCTTTACACATATGGTAACTTGAGTGGGAGCATGTGCAGCCGTACACTTTTTTCCTTACCTTGATTTTTTTCCCTGTAATTTTCCAGATAAGTAAATTATTAAGGCAGAACAAAATGCACATTTTATCGTGGTAATTCCAAAAATAAGTGTTGTGCATAAGTGGACTTACTACTATTTATGAACAGTGATCTTATCACTATAGAGACTTGTGAACAGTGTGATCCAAAAAAATTTGTACAAAATTCAATGTAATATCGGGAAATGTTACCTATAAAAGGACACCTAAATGCAATAAAAAAATATGTCCGGAAGAAGAAGATAGGTCACGATATTTTATAAATTTAGTTCTTATTACTTTATCCACATTTATAACAAA